AAAAAATAATTATGAGACATAATAGCATTAACAAATTTTCCATCTGTTGTGAGACTTCTTTTCCTGGGGATGCTAAGCAATGTTTATTCCCTTTTAAGGTTCTAGTGTCAAGCCAATGTTTGGTTAAAGTTTTACTGGGGAACCAATGAATTTATTGACCTTACTTACTGAGATAATTGAGGGGTTGCTGAGGTGTACGTATGACCTGAGGGTTTGCACACTGGAAAGCCTTTACCCGGCATGGGTCAAGCGTTCTTTTCCTAGCCTTCCCCAGACTGTATACTTTAGCCCTCCCCAAATCCAGGAGGCCATGTGTGATTAGGGTCAAATTATATACAGTTGGCTGGGAAGAGTGGTTGGATAATGTGGTGAGGGTCCAATGACCCTGCTTGGCCCTCCTTTAATGAATGAGCACAACCATCAACAAGTCCAATTGTGACGATGTTTAGTGATCAGGCTCAGCTGAAGTCCTGATGATGGTAGTTATTTCATGCAGACAGGACTGCTGTACAGCATCATCTTATTAAAAGGACCTGGAATTCAAAAGGATTTGGTGCTAGGATCCACATGTGAGGGAGAACATACATTGTTTTTCTGAGTCTGTGTTACTACTTCACCTACTATAACAGTTTCTAGATGTATTGTTTCTTTCAGTTTGGGAAAGACCCAAGTTCCGTGCTATTAGAAGATCCATGAGGTCACCGCCTGGGCCTCACACCCTGACAGCAAGCAACTTTCCATGATGTCTCCCCAGCCCAGGCTTGGGGGTTTCCTGAGTAAGGAAATGGCTGGCCTGCCAGTCTGGAAGAAAGCCAAGTGGCTGTGGGTAGAGAAGACTGTCAGGAGACACAAAGTCTTGGGGCTGGTCTGGAAGCCCTGCCTCACCTGCCTGGCCCAATGGCAAAAGTTCCTTTGGGACCTTTGCTGGTTGGCTCCCTGGAGCCTTACCCCTATTCATTCATTCATTCATTCATTCATTCATTCCCATCACTTAAGGGCCTGAGTTCAAATTTCAGCCATATCCACCTGTTACCTCTTTGTGCATCAGTTTCTTCATCCGACAAGTGGGAAAGTAGTTAAGAATTTCCCACCACACAAGAAGCTGGGCAAGAGACTAAGAGGGGAGCTTGAACGTAAAACACATCAACATGTCAGGGCTAGTGGCACACACCTGCCATACCAGCCTTCAGGAGGCTGAAGCAGGAGGATTGCCACAAGTTGGAGGCCAGCCTGGGCTAGAGAGACCCTGTGACAAACAAACAAGAAAAATAGGTCTGAAGATGTGGCTCAATTTGTAAGGTGCTTGTCACGCATGAAGCCCTGGGTTCCACCCCAGCACCATATAAACCAGGCATGGTGATACACACCTTAACCTGAGGTGGAAGCCGGAGAATAAGGAACTCAGTCATCCTTAGCTAGAGTGTGAGGCCAGCCTGGGCTCCAGGAAATCCTCTAAAAGGACCAAAACATAATAGGCTACATCCATTAAAATAAATCCCTTGTTCAAAAATAATACTGAGCTGGGCGTGGTGGTGCACGCCTTGAATCCCAGGTAGAGGCAGGCAGATCTCTGTGAGTTTGAGGCCAGCCTGGTCTACATAGTGAGTTCCAGGACAGCTGGGGCTACAGGGAGACCCTGTCTCAAAAAGACCAAAAATAATAATAATAACAATAATAATGAGCATATTTACAGAGGTCACTGTTTCATTTTTAATTACATTCTGTTTCCCAGAAAACATTGGAGAAGCCATGTGGGAGCAGGGTCAGGTCTCAGGAGGGCAGTGAGAAGGCGGCCATGCAAGGCTTTGGGCTACCAGACCAGGCCCACAAAATGGGCCGTTTGTGCCCGTTTTGTGTTATGAAACAACCCCCAAGAAGGGAAGGAAATGTGAAGAATGAGGTGCTCAGCCTGCCACAAACTCCTAAAACTTTTCACAGCCTGTTGTCTGCCAGGCCAGGGGGACAGCAGGTCTGGTGTTTGTGCTGGGCCTTCAATACCATACATCCTGGGTCTCAACTTCTCAGTGCAATGAAACATGCCAACAGAAATGGCAGCACACGGATCTCATTGACTCTGGGAAAGTAATACCATCAGTGCCGGTTGTAGTGACACATGCCTGTCATCCTCTCTCCTATGGTAGCTGACACAGAAGGATTGATAGTTAAGGGCTAATCACAATTTAGTGAGACCCTGTCTCAGAATGAAAAGTAAAAAGAAGACTGGGGGCATGGCTCAGTGGCACAGCAGCAGCCTAGAATCCCCCAGTGAGGGACCGGTAACATGGCCAGCTTACAATCTTGGAATCCCCAGGCTGCACCACACCTGACCCCACCCACTTTCCCTGAGTCCCAGAAAGGTCTAGCATGAGGAAGTGCAGGATTGGCTGGCTAGGCTGCACACAGAAGGCCTAAGTCTGAAGCAGGTTATGACCTTGGACCAGCTTCTAACTTCTCAGTTTTCCAGGCTGGAATAGGAGAAAGGCCATTGGCACTGCCCTCCCTTCCATCCCCTCTTCATTCCATGTCCTCTTTCAGACAGAGCTGCCTTAGAAGGAAGTTGGACTCAGGGACAGTGATCTGATCAGGTACTGTTTTGTTTGTGTGCATGTTTGTGTGTATGCAAGTGTCATTTCTCAGAAGCTGTCCCACTTTAGATTTCACTGTTGATGCAGAGTTCACCCAGCCGGCTAGGCTAGCTGGCCAGTGAGCCTTCCCAGTGCTGGGATTAAAAGCACTCCCTGAAGCTGAAGAGATGGCTCAGTGGTTCAGAGCACTTACTCTTCTTGCAGAGGACCTGAATTCAGTTCCCAGCACCACTCTAGGTAGCTCACAATCGCCTGTAACCCCGGCACTGGAAGATCTGATGCCTCTGGCCTCTTCAAGCACTTGCACTCATGTGCATATTCCCACATGCAGACACATGTACACATAATTTAAATAACAAAAAATAAATCTTTAAAAGTACATGCCACTACACCTAGAGTTTTCTTTAACGTGGGTTCTGGGGCTAGAACTCAGGGCCTCAGGCTTGCACGGCAAGCCCTTTACCTGCTGAGCCATGTCCCTGGTCCTGTTGTAGTTGAGAGTCTCATTTAGTCCAGACTGCCCTCAAAGTCACTATGTAGTAAGGCTGTCCTCTAACTCACGATCTTCCTGCCTCCACCTCCCAAGGACAGGGATCATAGGCATGCACCACCACGGCTGGCCAGCTTGCTGTTTTACTTGAGGTCATCCTAAGGCCACATGGAAGAGGAGACATGGGAATAGAGACCTGGTGGGCTAGAGGGAGGGGGATATACACAGAGGAACACCAGGGAGCAGGGCAAGCACAAAGGCCCCGACGTGGAAGCAGCCAGGTGTGGTTCAGAATTGAGCCTGGGAGGGGCAGGCTGGGGGATGGTAGGCCCTGGCAGACTCCCCACACATGTAGTGCCCATGTGTGTCCCTAACCACTCTGCTGGAGCACAAACCAAAAGAAGAAGCCACGGACTTTCTGCACCCTCCCTGCCCCCCACCCTGCAAGGAACAGGAGGCACTTCCTCTTTTTACCACATTTAAGGCCCAGCCCTGAACACACGGAGAAGTGAAGTCGGCCTGCCACTGCTCAACCATGGGGGACACTTTCATCCGCCACATCGCCCTTCTGGGCTTTGAGAAGCGCTTCGTCCCCAGCCAGCACTATGTGAGTATCCCAGGAGTGCCCCGGAGGAGTGCGCAGAAGGGACAGCAGTCACCCCATGTGTCCCCAAAAGGTCACCAGAACCAGGGAGGGACATGCAGGGCAAGAGATCTTAGGCTCTTGACTTTGGGCTTGGGCTTCTCTTGGCGTCTACAGAGGCCACTGGCCACCCTGGGGAGACACCCTGTGCACTCTGCCCAGCTGCCTTCCTGTTTCTGATTGAGTGCCACCACCCTCAGCCCAGGGCCCAAGACCAGGGCCAACTGCCAGAAAGCCTCCCCAGATTACGGGCCTTTTTTGCTTGTGGTCCAAAATTGATATAAAATGAAATCCACAAATCTCATATAACATCACTGTGCTTAAGGGGGCATTTCATTCTGTAAAGCAAAGCAATGCCAAGAGATGGCCTTATTGTCACTCTAGAACTTTCCTTGAAACCCCCAGAGACAATCAGATTGTTGTTTGTTTTTAGCCAGGGCCTGACAAGTGTAGCTCAGGCTGACTGGGAACTCAGGGAAATCCTGCCACTTCATCCTCCCCAGTGCTGGGACGGCAGAGTCACTGTGGCCCGTGTGGACCCTCTATCTCGTCTTGCTCTAAGTGTTAACCACTGTCATATCATGCAGCATGGCTTTGGCCCCTTTCACTCAGCACACTGTGTTTTGTTTTGTTGTTGCTGTTGTTTTGAGACAGGGTCTCAATATGTAGCCCTGGCTGGCCCTGAACTCACAGAGACCCACCTACCTCTTGAGTGCTGGGATTATAAGCATAAGCCACAATACCCAGTATTGTTTTTGTTCTTTTGGTTTTGATTTTTTGTTTTATGTGTATAATTGTTTTGCCCGCATGCATGTATGTGTACCACATGCTTGCAGTGCCCACGGAGGCCAAAAAGGGGGTCAAGTCCCTCAGAGGTGGAGTTAGAAACAGTTCTTAGCTACCATGTGGGTGCTGGGAACAGAACTCCAGTGCTCTTGATTATTTACTTTTTTATTTATTATTTATTGGTATTTTTGAGACAGGGTCTCCCTGTGGCTCCAGCTGGCCTAGAACTTGCCATTAGACCAAGCTGGCCTCGTTCTTATAGAACTCTGCCTGCCTCTGCTGGATGTGGTAGCTAAAAGGCCCTGCCCTTTAAAACAACCCCTTTTGGGATGTTTTGGGTCTTTTACTTTTGAGACAGGGTCTCATGTAGCCCAAATTTACTACATAGTCAAAGATGACCCTGAACCTCTAATGCTCCTGTATCCACCTCCCAAGTTCTGGGATGATAGGTGTGTATCACCACATCAGTTTATGCAGTGGGGACCAAGCTTCTCAACATAGGGATAAACCTTCAGGGAGAAGCTGCATAGAAAGTGCATCAGGTGTGTTGGCACATGACTTTAATCTTAGATGGCAGGCAGATCTCTGTTCCAGGCCTGCCAGTACTGTGTAGTGAGTCCCTGTCTCAAAAAAAAAATGAGAGAGACAGAGAGACAGACAGAGAGAAAGAGAGACAGAGAGAGAGAGAGACAGAGAGACAGACCCTGGCAAGATGGCTCAGTAGGTAGAGGCACTTGCTGCCAAACCTGATGATCTGAGTGTGATTCCTGGGACCCACAGGGTGGAAGTGGAAGGAGAGAATTCAATCCTGAAAGTTGCCTCCTGACTTCCACATTGGTACCTGGACATGCATGCACACTCATACACATACACACACACACACAATTTTCAAAAAACTTTTTTTTTGTCTTTTTGAGACAGGGTCTCCCAGTAGCCCCCAATTGGCCTGGAACTCGCTCTGTAGACCAGGCTGGCCTCTGCCTCCTGAGTGCTGGGATTAAAGGCATTCACCACCATGCCCAGCATATTTTCAAAATTTTAAGCACAACTGACCTTGTTAGTCTGCACTCCAAAGCCTCAGGTGGCAGCTCTTGAGTCCCTGAAGCTTATGCCTGTCCTGTGACTCAGGTCCTTCCCACCACAGATACCTTCACTCCAACCCCTCAATCCTCCCCCAAAGCTGGAATCCTCCTGGGGGGAAAGCATGGTTCCCATGAGTGCTGAGTGCCCTCCCTGCCCTGTTGCCCCCAGGTATACATGTTTCTGGTGAAGTGGCAGGACCTGTCAGAGAAGGTGGTCTACCGGAGGTTCACGGAGATCTACGAGTTCCATGTGAGTGTGAAAGGAGTTCCTACCCCCAGCTGCAGCTCTGCCCTTGGGGGAAGCCAAGCCCACCTGTGTATAAAACAAGCCCTGGGTCCTACAGTCCCCCATCCCACTTGTGAAGGGGGTGTATTTTGCCCAGTGGTGGTACACATCTGTAATCAGAGCACTTCTTTTGGCGGGTTGGGGAGGGCAGGCAGGCTGGAAGATTTAAGGGGCTCAAGGTCATCCTCAGATACATAGCCAGCCTGAGCTACATCAGTCCATGTCTCAAAAAAGGGAATGAAGGGCTGGAGAGATGATTCAGTGGTTAAGAGCACTAGCCGTCGTTACACAGGATTCAGGTTCCGTTCCCTGCACCCACATAGTGGCTCATATGGTCTGTAATATCAGTTCCAGGGCATTAGATGCCCTCTTCTGGCCTCTTCAGGCACTGCAGGCACAGAGTGAGTGGGATAATGAATGGCTGCATGAACAGGCCATGGGGCAAGAACAGCCTAAAGTGTCCACAGGTGGCACTCAGGGAACAACGCCAGAGAAATGGGGGAGACAGATGGTGGGAGAGCTGGGGGGGCAGTTATGTGGGGCCTGTGGCTTCTACACCCAGTGAGTTGAGAGTCCAAGAGTGAAAGAATCCAAATTGGATCTTTAAAAAAATCCTGTTATTTTTATTATTTTGTGTTTGAGTGTTTTGCCTGCATGTGTGTAAGTGCACCTCTGCCATTCAATGCCCATGAAGGTCAGAAGAGGGTGTTGTATTCCCTGCAACTGGAGCTACAGACAGTTGCTAGCTTCCTTATGGATGCTGGGAACCAAACCTGAGTCCTCTGCACGAGCAGCCAGTGCTCTTAACTGCTGAGCCACAGAGGTCAGAAGAGAGCGTCGGATCCCCTGGAACTGGAGTTACGGATATTTGTTGACCACCATGTGGGTGCTGGAATTTGAACCCAGGTCTTCTGCAAGAACAGCGAGTGCTCTTAACCACTGAGCCATCTCTCCAGCGCCTCCCCCCAGTTGGATTTTTTTCAGCCTGTTTTGGCTTTTTTCTTTTGAGAGAGGGTCTTATGTAGCCCAGGCTGGCCTTAAACTCACTAAGCCAAGGATGACTCTGAACCTCTGATCCTCCTGCGTCCACCTCCCCAGTGCTGGGATGACAGGCACACACCATCACACAGGTTTATGCAGTGCTGGGAATGACACCCAGGGCTGCATGCATGTTAAGTAAGCACTGTGACCACTAAGTTGCATCCCCACCCCATCTTTCTGTATCTAGAAAATGCTAAAGGAGATGTTTCCCATCGAGGCAGGTGACATTAATGAAGAGAATAGAATCATCCCACATCTCCCAGGTGAGGGGTGGGGCTGAGTTACCACTGGGTTCCTGGGGTCCTTCCTGTCTTTCCTCACCTGATCTCCACAAAGCCCCTCCCCACACCCATTTAGACTTGGCCTGTGGGCATGCTCATGGATTTTATTCCTGGCCTCCCTGGCCAGCACCCAGGTGGTTCGATGGGCAGCGGGTAGCCGAGAGTCGCCAGGGCACACTCACTGAGTACTTCAATGCCCTCATGGGGCTGCCTATGAAGATCTCCCGCTGCCCACACCTGCTGGATTTCTTCAAAGTGCGGCCTGAGGACCTGAAGCTGCCCAGTGATGGCCAGTGAGTAGTCACCTACCAGGGAGAGACTGGAGGTGCCCAAGTACGGAGGGTGGGAGACCAAACTTCAGAGAAGGCAAGCGACTGGCCTGTACTCAGACAGCTCTCAATCTGTTCCTAGACTGGCCAATCTGCATGTACCCAGGTTCCTGTCCTGGGTGCTCTCCTTGTCTGCTCCCGTAAGGTAACCGGAGTCCCTTCCAGGCTGCACATTGAGCTGGAAGAAGCAACTTGGCCATCCTCCTAGGGTCTGCAAAGGTTATGAGTCCTCCCTGGGCCTCCATTTCTGAATCTGAGTAGATGCTCCCCCCCTCCCCATCTGTTGTCCAGGACAAGCCAGTCGCTACCTTCTCTATAGTTACCGTTGGATCCAGCATTCTTTTGCTCTTGGGAAGTCCTGCTGCAGGTCTAACTAAAGCCTCCCCTGCTCTAGAGGAGTGTCTGACTCACATTGCCTGTTCTCTCTCCAGAGTGAAAAAGCCAGAGACATACCTGATGCCCAAAGACAAGAATAATGCAGCTGGTAAGAGGGTCAGAGGCATGGAGGTAGAGGGCACCCAAGGGTCGGGATGCCCTTGGGGCTAAGGGTAGATGCAGGGACTTGGAGCATGATGTGTGTGGAGACATGGCCAGAGCAACACTGAGGAGCTGGGGCCTTGGGAGTCACCTTGCAGGTTGGGGTGTGTCCTTGCCCCCACAGCCCTCCTGTAGGAGGATCAGGAGTTTAAAGTCAATCTTGGTTACATAGTGAATATGAAGCCAGCCTGGGCTATGTAACACCATGTCTCAAAGAAAAGAAACCCAAGGGGCTGAAAGATGGTTCTGTGATTAAGAGCACTCTGGCTGCTCTTACCAAGGACCCCAAGTTCGATTCCCAGCACCTACATGTCAGCTAACAACCACATGTAACTACAGTTCCAGAGATCCAATGCCTCTCGGCTCCTAGGGCATGGCACTCACATGCATGCATGCATGCATGCACACACACACACACACACACAACTAAAAATAAAATGTTTGTTTGGGTTTTTTTTTTTTTTTGGTCTTTTTGAGACAGGGTCTTCCTGTAGCCCCAGCTGGCCTTGAACTCACAGAGATCTGCCTGCTTCTGCCTCCCGAGTGCTGGGATTAAAGGTGTGTGCCTCCATGCCCGGCTCATGTTATGCTTTTTGAGACAGGGTCTCACTGTAGCTCCAAGCAGGCCTGGAACTCACCATTCAGACCAGACTGGCCTTGATCCCACAGAGATCTGCTTGCCTCTGCCCAGCCAAAATAAACCTTTTAAAACAAATGGACAAAAGAACAGAGCAAAACAAGAAAACACAGGCTGGAGAGATTGCTCAATAGAAGAGTTCATACTATGGCCAAGTGTGGTGGCACATGCCTTCAACCCAGGCAGACGCAAGTGCATTTCTGTGAGTTTGAGAGCATCCAGGCCAGTAAGGGACACACAGTAAGACCCTGTCAGAAAGAAAGAAAGAAAGAAAGAAAGAAAGAAAGAAAGAAAGAAAGAAAGAAAGAAAGAAAGAAAGAAAGAAAGAAAGAAAGAAAGAAAGAAAGAAAGAAAGAAAGAAAGAAAGAAAGAAAGAAAGAAAGAAAGCAGTATCGGGAGTTCCAGGCCTGATGGGCTACAGAGAGATCCTGTCTGAGAGAGAGAGAGAGAGAGAGAGAGAGAGAGAGAGAAAGAAAAAAGAAGAAGCAGGGCGTGGGGTAGGCTGAAGAGATGGCTCAGAGGTTAAGAGCACATCCCAGAGTGCACATGATGGCTCACAACCACCTGTAACTTCAGTTCCAGAGTATCAGACATTATGTTCTGGTCTTTGCCAGAACTGCACACATGTGTTGTGCCTACATACACTGAGGATCACACACACATACACATCAAATAAAATAAGTAAAATCTTAGGGAAAAAATAGAGTGCATACTGCTCTTACAGAGGACCCAAATTCAGTCTCTAGCACCCACATTGGGGTTAGGTACTCAGTACATGCAGGGCCAACATTAGCTGGTCTTTGCTGATTTCCAGTCTGCAGGGCATGTCCATAAGAATGGAGCTGAGCAGGTGCTGGTGCTCACCCTGGTGACCCCACAGGGGACTGTCTGCCCTGCTGTGCCCACTCACCCTCCCCTCCCTCTGTGCCAGACATCAGCGGCCCCATCATCCTTCAAACTTACCGGGCCATCGCAGATTATGAGAAGAGCTCGGGCACAGAGATGACAGTGTCTACAGGAGACGTGGTGGACGTGGTGGAAAAGAGCGAGAGCGGTCAGGCCTCCCACATGCCTCGGGCCTTCTTCCCCTTGGGCTGGGATCCCACAGCCACAAATTCCTTTTGGAGGACCAAGCAGCCTGTGGCCTCCATCTGAGGCCAAGACTGCACTTAGGGGTGTGGTCCAACCTGCTCATTGCAAAGGGCTCTGGCTAGCTTGTATTGGGGAGTTGGGTGTCACACTTGGGTGACATTACTGATTGTATCTGTGATCTGTTTCTGTGACCTCACCACACTCATGGCTGAGGAAGGCTGCTAGGTACCGCCCCTCACGTACCTTTCCACACCCCTGGCACAGGCTGGTGGTTTTGCCAAATGAAGATGAAGCGAGGCTGGGTCCCTGCATCCTATTTGGAACCCCTGGACAGTCCTGATGAGGCAGAGGACCCAGAGCCCAACTATGCGGGTACCTCCTGCCCTCCAAGTCTAAGGGTGTGGGAGAAAGGGGAGGAGGCCTATGGGGACATTTGCAAGCCAGTGTGCTTTGGGGGTTCATTCATGATTTTTAGGTTGGAGAACTGGATAGATGGTGATGTTGTTGGTCAGGATGGAAAAGTAGGCAGAGCAGTGGGAGGAAGAGTGAAAGATGAGTCAGGATCATGTGAGCAGTCTGGAGTCTGTCCAATGGGACCAGAAGGCTGAGCTGGCCCATGCTGGGAGTACAGTGATGTCTGAGGGGGAAGCTGGCAGCTCCAGGGCTCCATGTGGCCTGTGTTGAGTTTGAAGGTAACATTGGTGGGTCATGTTTTAAAACTGAGATTTCCTCTGTCATCCCAGCTGCTTAGGAGGCTGAGACAGGAGGGTCTCAAGTTGAAGGCCTGCTCAGGCCACAGAGTCAGTTCCAATCTAAAGCCTTAATGAGACTGTTGGAAAGAAAAAAAAAAAAAAGATTTAAAAGGGTTGGGGTGTGGCTCAGTGGTAGAGCACCTGCCTAGAATGCCCTAATGAGGTAAAGCACTTGCCTGGAGTCCCCAGTGGGGGCCTGGGGTGGGAGCTCAGAGGCTGAATACTGAAATAGCATGTTCAAGGCCTAGGGTTCCATCCCCAGTACTGAAATAAATAAATATATAAAAAATTTAAAACACCTAGAGAGGGAGACTGAGGGGCAGATTTGAGGGGGGCAGACAAGGGGGTTGTGGGTTCCCAGTGGTGACTGGGCAGCTGGAGGAAGCCTGAGGCCCAGGGAGGAGAGTGGGGTGGAGTGTGGGAGCCACACTCTCTCACCCACCTTGTGCTCCCTCCCTGGACCAGGTGAGTCATATGTGACCATTAAAGCCTACACTGCAGTGGAGGAGGATGAGGTGTCCCTGTCCCAGGGTGAAGCCATTGAGGTTATTCATAAGCTCCTGGACGGCTGGTGGGTGGTCAGGTAGGAGAGCCCTTCTCCCTGTGCACACCCACCTGAGTGTGCTGGGGGGGAGGGCGGGACAGAGCTTGGGCTCCGCACTGATTTGACTGTGTGGTTCTTGGGAGGGGGTTCTTCTTCCCTTCCTGGTCCCTGAGTTTCATCCTTAGGACCAGAAACCAAACAACAAAAGTAAAACAAGGAAGAAGGGAAACTGACACCTAGAATTTTGCATGTCTCTCTCACACACACACACACACACACACACACACACACACACACAGATACACAGATAAGGAAACTGAGGTGGGCCTGCGGGGTCTAGGTGTTTGCAATCTCCCAGCTTGCATTCGGCCCCAAGGGAGGAGGTGCTCAGAAGCCCCCAGCTCTGTGCACAGCCCACCACGTCTGCCTGAGCCTCCAGAGCAGCCTATCTTGCAGGAAAGGGGACGCCACCGGCTACTTCCCATCCATGTACCTACAGAAGGCTGGGGAGGAGATAAGCCAGGCCCAACGACAGATCAGGAGCCGAGGGGCGCCACCGCGCAGGTGAGGGGCAGGGCTGGGGGTTGCCCACCCGGATGCCACCGGTTCCTGGTAGGGTGGGCCCCAGCAGGTCCAGTGCTGTGCCTTCTAGCTGCTGGGTGTGACAGACGCAGGGTGGACATGGGGCAGGCGGGTCTGTCCTTCGGGCTGGTGGGTGAGGCCCGGGGCGGTCCCGACAGGCTTCCCCGGAGTGGGGATAGGCTGAAGACCAGCGTGGGCGTGGGAAAGTGGCCTGGGCTCTGCGTCTACAGAGGGGCAAGAGCATCAACCACCACCCCCATCCATGCCCTTGCTGCATCCCACTTGCAGAGACCAGTCTTAGAACTTTATGGGTGCTACTGTCCCCCGGTACCCTACTTTCACGCCCAGGGGTGCGCACCCGAGTTCCCTGACGCAGGGACTCCAGGGTATGACGACCTCTGCGTGCTCCTTGCAGGTCGACCATCCGCAACGCGCAGAGCATCCACCAGCGGTCCCGGAAGCGCCTTAGCCAAGACACCTATCGCCGCAATAGCGTGCGATTCCTGCAGCAGCGCCGCAGGCCTGCGCGACCAGGGCCGCAGAGTTCAGAGAGCACGCAACGTGAGCCCCGCGGGGTGGGGCAGGAACTGGGAAAGTGGCCACAGTGTGCACCGGTGGGGCCAGAGTGGGCCTGCAGTCAGGGAGCGGGCCACAGCTGGAGGCCGGGAGAGCGGGAGAGGGCGTAGCCAGACTACGCAGAGGCGGAGCTGAGGGTGTGGCCAGGGTTAGGGGCCGAGCTAACACTGAAGGGCCTGGGCTGCGGGGAAGGTGCAGCACCTGGAGGGTGTGGCTTGAGGAGCTCGGGGCAGAGTGCCCTCTGGGGACCAGACCCGAAAGGTCCTGATGGAGCCTCTGGGCAAGTCTAGATAATGGAGCGGAGCCTGGGACTTGGAGGCGGAGCCAGATGACACGTGGACTTCTGACGCACCTGTGTTTGCAGAGAATCAGTCTTCTCCGCGCTCCAAGCCGCAGCCGGCGGTGCCCCCAAGACCCAGTGCGGACCTCATCCTGCACCGCTGCAGCGAGAGCACCAAGAGGAAGCTGGCATCTACCGTGTGAGGCCCGGGAGCCGCCCCCATCCCTGTATATAGCGCCAGGGGTCAGAGGCTGGAGCGCCCCCCCCCCCCCCCCCCCGGCCTTCTTCAATATATGGAGTGGACAGAGTTTCTGCAGCTAAGAACCAGGCTGCGCTTCGCCTCAGGGGTCAATTGCCCAGGACCTGGGGATGTTGCTCAATGGTTTGAACATAGGCCACACTGGTCCGCGTAGAGATGAGAGAAAGCTAACCAGGGCGAAGGACTGAGAAGCCGCTGGAGCGCACTGGTGGGATTTCACAGAAGGCCTGCAGGGAAAGGACAGCACCAACACATAAAACTGGAAAAATCGAGCGCAGACCCAGCCCCTCCGTTGTTCACTTGCTCATTGTTGTTTAAATACATTACAAAAATACTTTCTGCACTTTTGTTTTTGGAAGCAGGCTCTCACTATATTCCAGGCTGGCCTTGATCCTCTGGCCTCAGGCTACTGAACGCTGGGATTAGAGCCCACTTTTCCTTCCGCTGTTTTTTTTTTTGTTTGTTTTTTTTTCCCCCTAAACTGAAATCCTGATGAAACGTTTCCCTTGGTTGTTTTTGGACAGGGGTGGGGGGTGCGTGGGAGGGATGTTGATTCAGGATCTCATGAAGCCAAGGCTGGCCTCCAAGTATGTAAGGGAGAATGACCTTGAACTCCAGGTCGTCCTGCCAACACCCTCTGGGTGCTGAGATTTCGAGTGTGCCACCACCCCCCCGGGTCCCAGTTTCTCTGTTCGCGGTCTTGTGGTAGGCGCCTGTCCCCGCCTCAGCATCTCCAAAGGGGTGGGGAAGGTTGGCCGGGCAAGGGTGCTGTGAAGCCTGCCAGAGAGCCTGGGATGAGCACGCCTGCGGGTGCCAGCCGGTCGGGGCACCCGTCTGACGATCCAGGCGTCGTGCTGGCCTTGCTCCAGGGTCTCTGGTTTTGAGACAAAGCAACCAATGCCAAGCAAATGCAGGCGTTTCTCTTAGGGTCATACTGCCTTTGAGGAGACGGAGCCGATCCGAGACTCAGACTGCCACAGTGCCCGGGCGCGCATGGTCTATAGATCACGTTTGAAGCTTGGTGCCAGAGGGCTGCTTAAAAAGGGCATGCGCACACAGGTGCTGGCGCAGCGGAGTAGCGGTAGGGAGACGTTGGCCTGACCAGCAGCTCTTTATCCTGCCCATACACACATACCCTGCCCCGGGGAACAGCACCAAATCCTGCCCCAGGCCCCGAACTGTCCCCGCCCCATCCACCCCACCTAACCACTCCCAAATGTTCGGGTCTGCGGACATCCCATTCATTGCCATGGCTACTGAAGCCCACCCTGTCAATCACTCCACCCTTTCTCGCAGTCTGGCCTTAGTCACACGGGTGGTCGCGAGTGTCAACGGCCACCGGGTCCCAAATCACATTCCAGCGTAAAGGAATCTGAAGCCAAGCTTGTTGGCCGAGCCCATGATCCCAGTGCTTGGAGGCTGAAGCAGGAGTGTCTAGATTTCTAGGTCAGCCTGGCCTGATTAAAGAGGAAGTAAGGAGATGGGAGGTGACAGAAGGGAGGGGGGAAGAGGAGGAGGAAGAAGAAGGAGGGGGAGGAGGGAAGAGGCCTCAAGGTGCCTTGTCTCTTCAGTCTGTGTTACTCATTGTGGGGTCTGCATTTTACCCGACCTGTCCAGCACCAGGCACACTGTCCTGGCATTCTCTACATGAGTGTCTCCATTTGACTCTCCTTAAACTCCGGTGTGCCTGACCACAGCGCATGACAGGATAAACTGGGGGAGACACCTGTGTGTGCACTGCACCCCTCAACAGACACATCTGTCTTCCTCTGTGGGTTGACTGAAACTTCAAGGGTGCCAGGCAGCTACATGTGAAGGAGCCACAGGTAAATCAGACATAAGAAACGTGAATGATGGGAAATACAGCAATTCTCACTTTTGTTTTAACTGAATTACAGCCAGGCACAGAAATGTCATACAAACGGGTATGGTATTGCAAATTAGGTTTCCAAAGTGGAAAAACATGGGGAAAACTGAAAGATTTCAGTCTGTTCTCATCTCACAATCTATTATTGGACCTGGAACATTCTAGGTTTCCACACCACATGATACAGGGATGAGGCCACATTTTCTGGTCTTTCTCTTTTCTTTCCTTCTTTTTCTTTCTCTTGTTATTTTTCTCTTTTGATCAAGACAGGGTCTTACCATGTAGCCCAGGCTGATCTCAGACTCATGATCCTGCTGCCTCTGCCTCCCCGGTGTTGGGATTACAGGCTTGGGCCTCTGCGGCCAGCTAGTTTTCATCCATCACGTTTTACCTGGAGCGAGGTGCCCCACTGCACCTCCTTCTTGCTCAGCTTCATGATGGAGAAGAGCTGCTCACAGATGTAAGTGCTGCCGAACATGGACAGGATCCTGGCACAGTGGCTCCTGTACCTGGGGTAGCTGCTCCATAGGTGCTTGTGGAACTCAGGGACCCCCAGCTTGTCATATTTGCTTCGCAGCACTGTGTTGCACTGCAGGTCAATCACCTCCATTTGCAGCTCCTCGCACACGCTGTCGATCTTGGTAGAGAACGGGGAGCTGAACAGGGTGAGCTCGCTCTCATACACTTTGAAGTCTGACAGGCGCTTCTGGAAGTCGGCTTTCAGTTCAGCAATCTTAGGGATATAGTTGAGGCCGTCACTCTCACTCTGGGACACAGATCTCAGTGTGGGGAAATGCGCCAGGTTGTTCCTGGCCAAGTGTGTCTCCCACAGACACAGCTTGGCCAGGAAGGCACGGATAAAGTCGTACATCTGTGTCACAACCTGTGAGTGGCCTTGGAGAGAGACGTCCAGTGTGTTGAGATGCGTGGTTATGTCCACGAGGAAGGCCAAGTCCAGGATCCAGTCTCGGGAGCTGAGCTGTGGCACAGGTTTCCCTCGGGAAGACATGAAGGAGTCAATTTCTTCCAAGGATTCAAAGAATCTCTGGAGGACCAGGCCACGGCTGAGCCACTTGATGCCAGTGTGGTACAGCAGACTGCCATACTGGCTGTCCAGCTCATACAATAGTGTGGTGAACTCGCCATGGTTGAGGCCCCGAGAGCAAATCCAGTTCACAGAGTCTACCACCACGTCCATGACATGGCCCATCTTTAGCCTCTGGGAGCAGAGTGCCTCAGGGTGGATGATGCAGCACACAGACTTGAGGTCGGAGCCCTTGCAGCTCATGGCTGCCCTGGACCTGAGCTTTGTCACCAGCCCACTGTTGGCATCCACCATGGCTGGGGTGCCTGTGGAGGCCACACTCACCAGCTTAGACCAGTCGATGTTGAATTTCCTCAGACTCTTCTCTACTCGGGAAAATACCTCATTCCCTGATTTGACACCTGTCATGGGTACTGTGTCCAAGAGTTCCTCAGATGCGTCAAAGCTGTCATCAACACCCCGAATGAAGATGGCCAGCTGGGTGGTGTCATTGATGTCTGTGATCTCATCAATGGCGAGAGAATAGGCCACAAAGGAGCGGATTTTTTCTCGTAACTTCTCCCACAAGCTCCCGGCTGTGTCTTCCATGGGCTGTGCCCCAGAGTTCCCATGTGGGCCTCTGTTGGCAATGGCTGGCTTTGGCTCAGGGCCTGGAGCTTCTGAGGACCCCAGGAGATATCTGTGCAGTGTCCTCTTGAGCTCTCGGAGCTTGTCCTCCCGCATCTGCTCTGTGTACTGGTCATAGTGCTTGCTGTGGTTGGTCTGGTAGTGGCGCCTAAGGTTGTACTCCTTAGACACAGACATGCTCTGCTTGCAGATTAGACATGTGGGGATGTTCTGCACCTCCACAAAGAAGTAGGCCCGCTCCCATTTCTCCTGGAAGATGCGGCCCTCCTGGTCTATCTTCCGTTTCCCTACTTTGGAGAGACATGGAAATGGTAGTTTTGCCTCTCCTTTGCTCTGTTTTGTTGGTTTGTTTTTGACACAGGGTCTCATGTAGCCCAGGTTGGCCTCCAACTCTCTGTAGCCAAGGATGATTTCAAACTCCTGGTCCTCCTGCCTCCACCTCCCAAGCGCTGGGATGACAGGCGTGTACTACCACACTTGGTTTCTCTCTGGTTTTTTTTTTTTTTTTGCTTTTGCTTTTTGAGACAGGGTCTCCCTATGTAGTTATGTAGTCCAGGATGACCTTGAACTCAAGATTGGCCTGCCTCTGCCTCCTGAGTTCTGGGATTAAAGGTATGCACCACCGTGCCCAGCTTCTCTTTCTTTTTAAAACAGGGTTTGGGGGCTGGAGAGATGGCTCAGCAGTTAAAAGAGCAATGACTGCTCTTGCAGAGGACCCGGGTTCGATTACCAGTACCCACATGGCAGCTATGAACTGTCCTTAACTCCATTTCCAGAGGAATCTGAAGCCCTCTTCTGACCTCTGAGGCATTGCACAATATGGGTGCACTCACATACATGCAGGCAATACATTCATACACATTAAAAAAAAAAAAGACAGGGTTTTACTTTGTAGCACAGGCTACAGATATGTAGGGAGAATGACCTTGAACTCCTGATCCTCCTGCCTCAGTCTCCTGAGTGCTGGGATCACAGGTGTGTGCTACCACACCCAACTTCCAAGAGAAGTCTGAAGTAACACAGATGGGACCAAGCAGAGGCATAGGCTTACCTGCTGAAAAGACCCAGGAGCCATGTTCAGAACCCACCTAATTCATGTGATAGTGTGTTTGAGTGTGCATATGTTGCTGGGGTTTGTGTTTGTTAATCTCTTTTGGCTCTTTGAGACAGGGTCTCACTCTGTAGTCCAGGCTGGCCTAGAAATTACCAAAGCCTCCAGGCTCAACATCACTAGTGCTGGAATTACTGGTATGAACCATATGTGGGTGTTTTGAGAGACCCTAACCTATGAAGGGAAGCAAAATAGTTCCTGAGAACACAAATATGAAAATTTATTTTATGAAAATGTAGCTGAGGGCTGGGGATGTGGCTCAGTTGGGAGAATGCTTGCTTGGCATTCATGAAGCCCTGGGTTTGATCTCCATCACCCCAGAAAACCAGGTAAGGTGTCATAAGTCTAATCCCAGCACTCGGGAGGTTGACACAGGAGGATTATTTTGAGTTTGAGGCCAGTCTGGCTTACTTAAGTTCTAGGCCAGGCTGGGACTGCAGGACTGAGATACTATCTCAAAAAACCAATCAAAAAGGAAATAAAATGCAGACCAGACCAGGGGGGCTGGAGATGGCTTAGCAGTTAAGAGCCTGCTGTTCTTCCAGAGAACCTGAGTTCCATTCTCAGCACCCATGTCTAGAGGCTCATGACTGCCTGTTACTCCAGCTCTAAGGGATCTGATGTCCTCTTCTGGTCTCTGCAGGCACTGCATGCACATAGACTTGTAAATTAAAAAATACACATGCAGACTAGGGCTGGGGATACAGATCAAGGGTAGAGCAGTTGCTTAGCCAGTGTGTAACCCTGGGGATCATGCCCAGCCCTGCAAAAAGAGAAACCAACAAAAAGGAAAACATTTTAAAGCCCCCATTCTTGACTGAAAGGCTCCAGAGTCCAGAAGTGAAGGCTCCCTGGTGAGTGCCCACCACGACACTCCACACCAACAGGTCCACAACCTTCATACTACGCAGTGTACTCACCGTTACTAAGTTCAAGTCCAGGCAGTGGTCTGCAGAGAAAGAGACACATGTGAATGCCACAAGGCTTGCTTTCCTTTTCCTGTCCCTTTAACTCCCACACAGATTTCTAATTAAGTGTCAATACAACTCTAGGTGTAGTAGGAGGTTACACTAAGGGGGGCTGCCCATGATGGCCTGTGAGATGGCTCAGCAGGTAAAGGTGCTTGCTGCTAAGCCTGATGACTTGAGTTCAACCCCCAGGAACCACATGATGGAAAGACAGAAGTTGACTCCCAGAAGATGTCTTCTGACCTTCACACATGCGTACCATGACATAAATAAAATGATAATAAGGGGCTGGAGAGATGGCTCAGCGGTTAAGAACACTGGCTATTCTTGCAGAGGACCCAGGTTCAAATCCCAGCACCCACATGGCAGCTAACGACTGTCCATAACTCCAGTTCCAGGGGATCCAACAGCCTCTTCTGTCCTCCGTAGGCAGTCCACTTACCTACACGCAGGCAATACACACATACACATAAAATAAAAATAATAAATAAAATAAAAAATAATAAAAATAAGAAGCAGGGACTGAAGAGATGGCTCAGCAGTTAAGAGCAGTGGTTGCTCTTAACTGTTTCCTTTTCCAGCACCCAAATGGTGGCTAACAATTGTACATAACTCCAGTTTCAGGGGATCTGATGCCCTCTTCTGGTCTCCATGGGCACTGCACACACAGGTGCACTTATATACAAGCAGGTAAAACACTCATATACATATAATAAGAATAAATAATTAGGGGCTGGAGAGATGGCTCTGTGGTTAAGAACACTGGTTGTTCTTGCAAAAGACCTGGGTTCGAATCCAAACACCCACATGGCAGCTAACAACTGTCTGTAACTGCAGTTCCAGGGGATCTGATGGCCTCTTCTGTCCTCCAAGGGCACTGCATGACACGAGTGCACTTACCTACATGCAGGCAATACACTCATACACATAAAAACAATAAATAACACTCCCATCCTCAGACCTCTTGGGAACAACTCAGTGCCTTTCTTGGGCCCCAGGAGCACCGCTTCTGGACCTGGCCCCGCCCTCACCTCTCTCTGCTTCCCGGGACCTG